AGCCCGGGGTCCGAAGCTTCGGCTTCCCAGACCCGCAGAGCCGCAAGTATGGCGTCTACTGTTACCGTCCTCCTCGCTAGAGCCGGCCACAGCTCTGTGCCTGCCTGCCCCTCCCCCCACCCCCATCACGGCTGTATTTACTAAATGGATCATGTTCCCTATTGCTTTAGGTCATGGAAATGAGGGGAGCCTATATTTTTATTGTATTTAAATATATATTTTTATTGATTTCAGAGAGGAAGGGAGCGGGAACGAGAGATAGAAATATCAATGATAGGGGGAATCATGGATGGGCTGCCTCCTGCACGCCCCCTTCTGGGGATCGAACCTGCAACCCCGGGTATGTGCCCCGACCGGAATCAAACCATGACCTCCTGGTTCCTGGGTCAACACTCAACCAACTGAGCCACACTGGCTGGGCTCAACTTAAATTAAAAAAAAAAAATTACTGTTTTTGTAAAGCCAACAGATCCCCAATCCTCCCTTTGCTCAGTGGACACCCCAAGGCTCCTGTACCCCTTTTCTCTGGGACATTTGAGGTCCGTGGCTCATGAGGACTCTGATGCCCAGAGTGGGCAGTGACACGGGGACCAGGGCATGGTGGCTGCCGCTCTCCCTCTGCCTCAGCCTGGGGGTTGGGGGGGCGGCACCCAGGGGCTCTGAGCTGGGCTTTGACCCTTGTAACCTCCTGTCCCTTTGAGGGGCTAGGGCTGGATGGGGCCCCAGGCTCCTGAGTGATGTCCCAGGGAAGGGAGTGATGCCCCCCACTTCCCCTCTCTCAGTTCAGAGTCTGTGTTTTGTTCTCATTTCCCCCCAATTTGGTGTGTGTGTGTGTGTGTGTGTGTGTTTTAAATATATTGAATTTTTACAGAGAGGAAGGGAGAGGGATAGAGAGTTAGAAACATCGATGAGAGGGGAATATCGGTCAGCTGCCTCCTGCACACCTCCTACTGGGGATGTGCCTGCAACCAAGGTACATGCCTTTGACCGGAACCGAACCTGGGACCCTTCAGTCCACAGGCCAACGCTCTATCCACTGAGCCAAACCGGCTAGGGCCCATTTGGGGTTGTTTGATCAAAACCTGTCCCCATGGCCACCCGTCCTAAGGCCCCCTTCCGTAGACCCTAGACCACGGTTACCTCTTTAAATTAAAAAAAAAAAAGGGAAAAGAAATAGATCTCTTCCAATGTCTTTATTATTATAATTATCATAATCTTCAATTTTCAAAAATATAAATAGGTACGCGGAACCCTGGTGCCTGCACGGAATAATAACTAATGTTTATTGCACACTCACATTAGAGGAGGGTTACTCAAACTGCCAGGAGAATCTTCATATTTCAAAAATGAGGTAAAACAGCCCTAGCCGGTTTGGCTCAGTTGGCAGACCAGGTGAGGGACGCCGGACGGACGGACGGACGGACGGAAGAGGGACCCTTGGAGGGACCCTGATCCCCCCCGCAGCGGAAGGCTCCCGCAGGTACATTCAGCTGTGGCTCCGGGTTCTTCATGCCCTGGGCCTCTGCCCCTCCAGCTCCCCCTGCCCCTCCTCCCTCCTCCCTAGCTCTCCCTGGAGGTCAAAGAACCAACGATTGCACTGCTCTTGGATAAAGTCAGCAAACAAAAAATAATCTTCTTTATTTAACTTAACCCCTCCCTGCTCCCTGTCCCTGCACTGGTCCCCGGAAAGGCACAACGGGAGGATAAAGAAATGTCCACGGGTTACAATACGTCTGCTTTGCTTTGGCATTTTTTTGGGGGGGCGGGGGGAGTCGAATGCGTTTTTTTTTGGCCGTTCGGGTGTGGGTGGTGGGGGTGCATACACACTGTGGGATTTCCTTTCTTCCTTCTTTAACGGGATTCCTTATATGGCAGAAAGCGACAAGAGGACACCGTCCGAGGGGGCGCGTCAGCCTGCAAGGCTCTGGGCTCAGCATCCTGGGCGCGGCCTGGGGGTCCTCTCAGTGGGCCGTGCTGGGGTGGCTCCTCCGTGGGGCCCGGGAGCTCC